GATAATACCTCAAGTTCCTGCTTAGGTTGCTTTAGGGAAAAATCAGTACGTTACCATGTTCTATTGTATTGCCTACTTATGTGCATGTTTCTAGGTCCCCCCCCTCCATTTCTAGATACTAATTAAGCATCTGCATTTTTTTGAGACTTCCGGTCTGGCTTCCGTCGCCACCAGACGGTCCTCTGTGACCGCCAGCCCCGTTGCCTGTAAAGAGCCGCCTTTACATCTGAAAGGCGGCTCGAAAAACTCCATTTCCTGATGGAAATGTGAGCCAGAGCAGGCGAGGGCAGGTAGAGCCCTCTGCGAAGTCCCCAGAGTTTTTTTTTTACTCTTGGGGACGAGCAGAGCGGGGCTCCCTATTTTTGCTCACTGCTGCTCCGGGCTTCAGGAGGACTCTGCCTTTTTGCAGAGCTAGGCGCCAGGACCGGACCAACTAATAAAATAACAGATGGTTCAGTTAAAGAGAGCGAGATTTGTACCTGGGACCCTAAACCACAAGTATTTTTAATGATTTTACAAGTGTTTCTGACTGAACGGAAAAAATAAGTTTAAAATGGCGACTGCTGAGGCTTGAGAAGAAAGCCGAAAGTGAAAGTCCTTCCGTAATAAGCTACAAAGTAGCGAAATATACAGTGCCGGCTAGACTAGAAGGAAAATATCCATTTTAAGTTTCTTTTTTTTTGGAGATCTGTATTTGATCTTGTTTGGGGAGAAGTTTTCTTTAAAAAAAAAGAGCTTTTTTGTGTGGCAGGATGGCTGACAAACAAGCAGTGGGGGGGGGTGTTCCCCCATCCACAATTAGCTGAACAAGCTCTGAGCCTACAGACTCTGCAGAATGGTTTTAATTTAAAAGAATTTCTTCAGGAGGAAATGGCAAAATATCATGAGACTATGAACCAGAAATTTGAGAAATTAAGGCAGGAAATTAAAGAAATGATACAACTAAAGTATGATAATCTGCAATGAAAGATTGTAACAGTGACTAATGCTTTTTCAGAAGTTGTTATAAAGATGGATACAAATATCAAATTATTAGAGTCTAAAATGGAGGAAGTTGATGATAAGATTTATAATTTGGATAATAAAATACAAAGAATTGAAAATGATTTGATAAATATTCAAGACAACAGTTTAGAAGTAAAGTCTAAAAAGGAAGCTGGTCACGAGACTTACAATGCAAAAGATATAAAGCAAGGGATTGAAAGAGAAGTTGTAATGATGCAATACAGGCTCATGGAATTTGCGGTCAGAATGAGAGGATTACAGGAAAATAATAGAGATGATCTAAGAAAAATATCTGCTCAAGTTCTGTCTGGGATTTTAAAGGTTCATCCTGAGGAGGTATCTTGTAAGATTGACAAGGCCTATAGAGTAAATTCTTGGATTGCAAAGCAAAGGCAACTGCCTAGAGATGTGGTGATTTACTTCACAGATAAAGAAATAAGAAATGATATTGTGCAAAAATCCTTTAATTCTACTCCACAATTGTATGGAAGAAAGATCTGGATATATAAAGAATTGCCGCCTAAGATGTTAAAAGATAGAAAGAAATTTGGACTTTTGGTGACTGAGCTAAAAAAACAAAATATTTCATTCAGGTGGGATGTTCCAGTTGGTATAATATTGAGATATCAAGGAGAAAGATATCAGCTAAATACTGTTGAAAAAGCGGAAGAATTTTACTACAAGGTCCTCAAAAAGCAAAATCAACAAGAGATAGAAATTCAAGAAAAGCAGAAGGAGGTGGAAGTAATGAAGAAACAACAAGTTACAGAGGTCTCTACAGATGAGCCGCTTTTGGATTCTCTTTCAGAGGTCTCAGCTGGACCATTTAATACAAGAGAGGCGGCTCGGGATTCTAATGTAATGACTTATCAAGTCACAAACCAGCATGGAAATCAATCAGTTGATATACAATTTATAGAACCAGAATGGAGATTTAAGCCACAAAAGCGAAACCAACAAGATCAAGTTATAGATCAGCTTGAAAACCAAATAGCTGATACACAATCTACAGAAAGGAATTCAGGATGGAGATCCAACCCACAAAAAGTTAAGAAAAGAAGAAGCAGGTCTCACAAAAACAAAAACTTTTAAACTAAACAACAGTGTAATGCCAGTTATTTAAGAGATGATTGAATACATGAAAAGATAGCTGAGGCAAAGTATTGGTTTATATTATCCTGAGGAGAGTGACAGACTTCTGCAGTGCTGTACTTTTGGGATGTGAAAAGGGCCTTAAACTGAATGGATTGGAACTATCTTTTTTTAGATTCTTTGATAAATATATTATGTTTATGCTAAGTTACAAGGCAAGAGAGTTATGGGATTGGGGCACGCAGAAGATCTGGTTGTTACCCTATTACGCTGGTTGGAATTAATAATTTGGATAAAAGACACCTCTACAGACACTATATGGAATACAAATACAAAGTCATTCAGGTGGTTGTTGTTGTTTTTTTTATTATGAAGATATTTGCTATTGACGGGGGCAGATGGTAATTGAAGATACCGAACATACTGTTGGAATTAGGATGTGATGTTACCCTAATATGGGTGATGGAGTTTATAATCTAGTTGAAAGACATTACAGAAGATATTATACGGATTACAAGCCTAAAGTCTTTTTAAGAGGATTTTATTTACATAAGGGAATATTTTTTAGTGGAGTGGGCAGAAGAATAAAGATATTAAGAATTATTAAGTATGGTAGTCTTGTAGGAAAGTGGGTGGAGACAGGTTAGTTTATTGATTGTTTAGTTTAAGAAAAGGGATATTATGTTTAGATATGAATATATGTAAAAGATTTGAGTTAAGAGATATAACGAGGGGGGTGAAGGAAATGGGTAGACTATGAACTGAATAAATGTTAAATTAGGATTTATTATATAGTTTTATAGGGGAAGGTTGTTTTTAAATGATAGATTAATATACATAAAAGATTTGATTTATTATTATGCTAAATTAGGAGTTATTATATAATGTTATAGTAGAAAGTTATTTTGAAAAGTATAGTATAAGGGGGATATGATAATCTTATTAGAAAGAAAGGGTCAGCATATGGTGATGGAGTAAGGGGATGGTAAAGTATTATATAATCTGTTATAAATTTGGGTTTTATTATGAAGAAGTCACAGGGGGAGGGGAGGGTAAGGGGGGGTTAGGGAGGAGGGGGGGGAAAGGGGGAAAAATGTTGTATTTGAAAAATAAGCATCTGCATTTTTTGTCTGTTTTTTTAACCTCCTCCCTGCTCTATTATTATTATTATTATTATTATTATTATTATTATTATTATTATTATTAATGTTCACCTTAGTTTAAGATCCATATATTTTAACAGATTAATTTGGAGAATTTGACCCTTAGATTCCAATTTGTTCCTGTAACTGTTCTGTTCACACTGCATTTATATAGGGCTGCCAAGATTCTGATATTAGATTTTGAATTAATGTTCAATTAACCTTAACTCAAAACAGATAGGATCCAGCAGCTATAATTTGTTTGGACAGAAAAAATACTTTAATATGGTTGCTTGTAAACTTTCAAGCAGGTTCCTACTATATTGGCTTACTTTACTTTTAAACTTTTTATTTAATCTCTCAATCATATCATTATTATGGTATGCCCTAATCTTGATTAAATTTATACCATAGTACATATCAGAAATGCCATTTAATCTGACTTTAGAACTTTTTCCTTGTAGAAATCTTTCCTTGTAAGATTTTTCTATAAGTAGATATTCTGTTTTATATCAATGCCAAACATAATTTCTAATCTCATTTCATTAATATGGAAGCTTGATAGCCAGTCTGGTTATTCCATAAATCAAATAAATCAGACTTGATGCTTCTGGGTCATAAAAAGTATAGGAGTTAATGTTTTAGGTTAATTCATTTATTGTGGTATAAAGATTCTTTGAAACACTGTGAATAACTCCCCTATACTAAGACAAATGAAAGAAAATGTAAACAAAAAGTTCAAAATTATTTGGTATTGGCTAGGAAAATGGAATCAAGATGAATTTAACTCCAAGACTAAATTCAACATGAGATGAATTACTTGACCTTAGTGAAATACTGACAAATATTGACATCCATTGTACTTATAAAAATATTATTGGATTGAAATTATAATTTTTTACCATGAAAATATTACATTATGGAATAAAATCAACTAAAAATGAGCAGATGAATCCTTTTTTCATGGTATGCTGGACCTTTCATAATATCCTTATTTTCAACCAACTAATTTTGATAATTTCCCCGTGAATTCTTGCAAATACATTCGATTCTAGAACATGCTATTTGATTAGTCCTGATGCCATTGCTTCTTGCTGGAAATGAAAAAAATGGTTAGAAGATTTGGAGAAATCAGTTAAAGCTCTTTTAAGAAATTAATGGAAGTTGATGAAGGTGATACAAGTAAATTTATTTAGTCTTTGGAATTATGTCCACAATAGTGGAAGTTTGCCTTAAAAGCTAAAGGTCACTGTTAAACATCTTCATGTAACTGTTTTTTGAAAAATCACGTTATGTGAGTCAACTGTCAACAGATTACAAATGGAAAAGAGTCATTGCTCTTTACTAGAAAACTTGTTTTGAATGTAGAAGGACTTGAATTCAATCTATGATATTTATTTAATAGATGTCAGATAATATGGCTGAACATACTCTGTGAGTAGATTATATTCATACTTTTGCCTACTAAAATATAATGCACTCAAATATGAAAAGTTACTTGTGCTAAAACTTTAATGCTTTTGGGGAAAATTACAAGCTGACCTGAGTTTTTTTTAAAAAATGAATATAACAGCTGATAAAAAATGGTTTTTTTTCCTAAAGTGGTTTTGTCCTGAGGGTAGTAGCTGTAGAGTTTCATGCAATTACTTCCAATGTTTTCAAGTCCCCAGTGGTAATAATTGGTCTACCTGTCGACATACTATTTCTCCTCTTCCGCTTTAAATGCAGGCAGCCGAATTGCATGCACATAGGTATAATTACCATCATTGATAGTGTTAGAGATGAACTTTCCCATCAGGGTTCTGTCAATCACCACTTGTTCCAGCTGTGGTCCAGAAAGGTTTAGAGATACCAGTATACCTGAAGGAAAGAGAAGCTGAATCCAAGGAGACAGGAAAAAATAAAAATTGTAACTTGTTAGCAGAGATTGTTAAGTTTCATATTAAATTTATATTTTAAAGGTCATATAATAATTCAACCACTGAAATGTGTCAAATGCAGTAAGATTATTAATAATCAAGCAAAAGCAAAGGAATTATAATATAAACATGTGTGAAAATGTTACTGAATGAAGTACTTCCCATAATTTGTGCACACAATAATTAATAGAAGTCTGCCATGTAAGTTTGAAATCTTTCCCCAGGTAGCTGCCTGGTGAAAACACAATTGAGTAATAAAAAGTCACCACAGATTCAAGCCAGTATGACCAAACTATTTAATAACCTGTAGCTATGTGTTCCAAATGAAAAGTTAAAGTAGTGATGCCAAGAAGAAAACATAGTGCCAGGTAAAAAATATGTCTTTTAAAAAATTTCAAATAAGCTTGGGATGAAAATGAATACTGTAGGAATTGTTACGAAGTACAATTTATACAAACACATAAGTAGTTCTTGTCTAATAATACTAAATGGGACCAGAAACTGCCATTTAGTGATATATTCAAAAACCGCAAAATATGACTGCACAATAAACAAAGGGAGTTCCGGCAAACCCAGTTGCCATCATTAATCAAGGACTGGGCGAATTGTTAAGCAAAGACCTCATGTAACCGTGACTTTTGTCTTCCTGCCAGCTTCTCAGTTTACTTTGGTTGCCAGCAGGGAAATTTGCAAATTATAGTCATGACCATGGGGCACTGTGCAGACCATAAGTATAAAGTCCAGTCATAATAACCATTCAGGGATGTTGTAAATTTGAATGGTCGCTGAACGAGTGCTTATTAAACAAGGATGACCTGAATTTACTTCCTATACAATATATAGTTCATCGAATGCTTCTATTTTATCTGTCAGAATTTTCAGAATGCTTCAAAGTACCAGAGCCAATTTGATGTAGAGATTAAAATGCTGGTCTAGAAACCAGGAGTTCTAGTCCTGCCTTAAGCATAAAAGTCAAGCTGGGTAACTTTGGGCCAATCACTTTCTCTCAGCCCATCTCACAGGGTTATTTGTGTGGGGAAATTTTATTTAATATATTTCTATGCTGCCCATCTCCCTGATAAGGAAACTCTACAGTAGGTAGCTTAGAAAACATAGAAAGACAAAAAGAAAAGCAATTAAAAATGTAAAACTAAAAACCAGAACCAAGGAGATCGACAGAGAAGTATTATGTATGTTCATTGTGTTGAGTTACTTATAAAGTAATAAAGGTGGGATAAAAATCTAATAAATAAATAAAATTTACAACTACCATTTACAAACAGATTGTTTTTTAAAGTGTGCACATCTGTAGATTTGTTTTTGTACTTTAACACCTAAGCAGTGATGAAAGGACTGTAAATTTGCCCTAGAATACTGACCTAAGCATACTTAACAAATAATGGATTTAAAATTAATCATAAATATCTTGTTTAAATAATTTATAGAAAAATAGAACATAATTTTAAAAAGCCTTTTTCAGATTTGGGTAAAGGGATATTTCTATAAGCATAGAATGAAATGTAAATTTTTACATACAGTACATTATATCAAACTATGGCTTAACTATGATCATTATCAACTGTTCAGATATATATAATACAGGGATGAATAAATTGCATTCCCTCTGCAGAATGCAAGAGGTTCTTTTTCATGATCCTCAGAATCCCTTCTGACCATGACTGTTGGAAACTAATGGTAGTTTCCAACTATAGTTAACCCTATAGAATGACCTGAGATTTGGATGGTCCAATCTTTCTGGCGTTTTGAAAAGATGTAACTCTTTTCCTCTTTTCCCCCAGCTTGGACTTGGTATAGGTTGGATTTTGTTCTGTACATGAAATATTGATATTAATAATTGTGATTATTTTACTGATCACATCAATTAAGTTGCCACATACATTTATATAATGAATAAATAAATTTAGAGAAAAGCTCACACACCTTGAAATAGTCATGTCATAATTTAAAACTCAAAACTGCCAGCCAAATTTAGCTTCACTGTACATTTGACGAAACTCCATTCATTTTGCAACCTTCAATTTCCCACAAAATAATTAAATATGCTATTTTGGCTATCAAAAAATTGTCTCTCTCTGACTGGGTAATGCCCACCCATCAAAATACTTGTACTTAACAAGTAAAATAGTTAATACAAAATATAAAGACTATGGTTTACTAGTTCAAAGCAAATTCTATTTAAATCTCTGAAAACACCTAGATAAAGCAGATTTTTATGTAAAATATAAACTGCCTTCTTTAGTCTAGTAAAACTATCTTCAGGTAATCATTCTAGATACTTATTGAAACTCCCCAAGTGATGGCAAATGTCCTTTAAGGTTTTGTCCTAGTAAAAGCATTAGACACAGTTAGACTTGTACAGCTTTTATTGCAAGATCTCAGCACTTCAGTCTATTCTTATATTGCAGTTGGATCAGATAAAATCTCAATTGATTCTGAAATAGATAATACGATTGTGTATCTTAACAGTATTTTGGAAGTATTTTAATTGGCTTCCCTCACCAAAATAAATAAAAATATCTGAAGAATAACAAAACTCTCTAGAAGCTGTATAGATTATTGTGGGGTCTATGTAAAATAAAGTAATATATGAAAAAAAATGTCTATAGTGTTCCCTGTTCTCAAAAAATAAATGAATACTCTATTCAGAAAAGGGTGTTGTTTACTACTGCCAAGTCTCTATGAACACCATCTATAACAAATACAGTGACATTGAGCAGCATCGATAACAAAGTTCAGAAACCTTCTATGTAAAAAATACTAATCACAAGAGAATATTCTTTTCCATGTGGTTTTTAACTCAAAATTTTAAAAACCAACTAAATTGTTCCTATGAATTCCTTATATTAGTGGCTCCTATACCAACATCCTATACCAGTGTTGGTGACCTTTTTCGGCACCGAGTGCCAAAATGGGAGTGCGCCTGTGTGCACGCCGGCCCGCGTGTCCGGATACTGGAAAAGCAGCCACCAGGGGTACACGTGCGTGCCGGGAAAATGATCTTCCGGTTTCCAGCACGCACATGTGCCCCGGTCAGCTGCTCTTTGTGCATGCATGCACGGTAGAAACAGGAAGAACAGGTGGCCAGCACACATGCGCGCGCTGGAAACCGGAAGTGTCAATGAAGCGCCCCCCCCAGCCCACTACCGAGAACAATCTAGCGCAGTTCCCCTCCTGCTACTTCTGCCAAGGGAGCATAACCGCTTCCCTGCCAGCATGCCTCTTAACCCAGCGCCAGACGTTCTTCCTGCACGGACTCAGCTCCTGCACAGCCCCACCACCCCAGAAAAGCAGCGGCAGCAGTCTCAGGGTGAGGGCAGGAGCGACCGGCCGCCCCTGTAGCTGCTCTCCCGCTGGCAAGCTGGGCCCTCAGCAGCCTATCCATGCATGAGGAACTGCACTCTCCTCTGGCCCTCCTGGGCAGTTCGCTTCTCCGATGACGGCTCCTCCTCCTCCTCCAGCATCCTGGCCAGAAGCGGCAGTGCATGAACTGCTGCCACCCCCTCGCCCCTGGTTATGGCAGGAGCAGCAGGGAGAAGGGCGGAGGCGAGGGGGGGGTGCACCAGGTGGCTGCTCTTCTAGTTTCCAGCACTCCTGCATGCATGAAGACCATCTGACTGGTGTGCGGTAACCTGGAAGAGCAACGGGCAACAGCTTGCTTGCCCAGAGAGATGGCTCTGCATGCCACTTCCAGCACATGTGCCATAGGTTTACTATCACGGGTCTATATAGTATTAGATAGTCACAACTGTATGCATTTTCAATCACAACATACAAAAACATGTTAGCTTTATTATCTGGTACTTCTTTTGAATAGCCAATAGTCAAAGTGGGTAGAACAATGATATTACAATTTTATGCCGGTTGGCAAGGGCCAGATTTTCAGGGGTTTTGAAAAGGTGTATTAAGGGGCACTAATGACTCGTGGTTGTAGCGGTTGCAGCATCCCCTTGGTCACATGATTGCATCTTGGATGTCTGCCAACTATCTCCACTGAAAAAGCTGCAGGATCCTATGCTAATGTAATCACCATTTGTAATTTTCACTGCCAACTTCTGGCAAGCAAGGTCAATGGGGAAGCCGGGAAGAGATCACAAGTTGCGATCACTTGACCACAGAATACTGGCGCCACATAAGATTTGCCTACAATGTCAACTGGAACTGATGTAGTAAATTGGCATGGTCACGTGACATTGCACTTTATGACAGCATCACTAAGCAACAGAGTTCCCAGTTCTAATTAAGGATAAGTGAGGAATACCTATAGAAGCTTTGCTCAGCTTTTGAAAGTCTACCAGATCACTTCTATCTATGTGATACTGTTAGACTGTGAAGCAGGATTTCCTTTTGATATATCATGCTGATTTAATTCATAGTGAAATCTATAATATATGTTTATTAATTAGAGTTTCAGAATGCTTCCTACCAGTTTTTTGAGGATAGAAATCAGACTCAATGTACCTTAATTTTTTGATCCATGTAAAAAACAGTCTGATGAAAAAAATAATCACCTGGCTGTCTTTCAGCTCTTTAGTAAGGAGGCACATTACTTCAGTCTAAGTTAGTTTTAGATTGTTCTCTAAAAAACCTAGAAGTACATATGCTTTTAAAAATAAAATCCTGCATTTGTTTATGGAGAAATATGTTTCACTGGTTTCAGTGATGTCTATTCTCAAGTAACTATGTAGAGGATTGCAGTATAATGCATCATTATCAGATATCAAAATTTTGCCTTTGAAGTTAATAGCTAAGGGTGTTCAAATTACAATACATGGTAAGACAAAATATTATCCAGCTTAATAACTTTATCGTTATAAAGTATAGCTATAATTACAAGAAAATTAAATTCTTATACCAATACTATGATTATTAGCATATATTAATAAAATTCAATGAATTAAGTCATACAAGTACTGTATACGCCTGTTAAAAATATCAAGAATAAAAAGGCAGAAGTAGTTTTTAACATATTTCAGGAAAAAGCTGTTGATTAGATTGCTGGATTACACACTTTATGCCAACCTGTTCCCACTTTCCATGCCGCTAACAAGATGTGAGCAGATGTTTTCTCTATATAATATGTGAATATTTACATAGATACAAAATACACATTCTGGACAGTTTGGAGGTGTAATAAAAACAAACACATCCAGTATAAACATTAAAAGATTCTCCTAACTCTGATAATCCAGTTTGAAGCTGGTGATGGGCTGATTCTACACTTATATATTCAGAAATAAGTCCTGCCAATTCCAAATGAACTTCTATGTTGTGTGAGTGTACGGAGGACTGTAGCCTGTATTTTCTAAATAGCTCATTTTATTTGAAAGCATTATGTATTTTTTATGATTGATTCCAATTTGAAAAGAGACACTTTTGTCAAGACATTCAGCTGAGTATTATACTGGTTTTGTTCTTCAAGTGAATATGTGCATCAAGAAATTATCTTAAACAAACACTGTATTTTTCTATAAGTTAACTTAAGACTAGTCTCTTTAAAAATAGTTCAGTGCTGTTGATTGAACATTGCAAAACCATGTCAAAACATTTACCTGACAGACATCTTTGCTCTTCCATTTACTCAGTACACACTGACTATTTTGCATCAGTTCCTGGAGGAAAATAGAAAGTAGATAGTGAATAGATGACTGTAGACATTTCACATGTGGTTGAAGTTCTTCTGTTTTTCAAAGAGGAAAGATTGCCTGACATCTAAAACAAAGATGCAACTGTTTTGGATATCCCACCATACAAAAGCCGATTTATCACCAGAAGGAGATGATCTTTTGGAAAATTAAAGGTGTTGAAAGAGATTTGAAAACATGGATTAATTGTTGTTATGCTTGAATCTTTCTGAAAAATACCTCTAGCTCCTTAAGTGTGTCTCGAAGCTTTTCTGGACGTTTGTTCTTAAGTACCCAAGGATAATTTCGACCTAGCAAATAAAATAAATATGTAAGATATTACATGCCATAATGAGTAACTGTAACTAGTATTTGATTTGAATCCATAGTTTATGAATAATCTTAACATAAAACATTCAAACACTGAAAAAATAAATTAAAAGGAATGTAGAGTTTTTCTGCATTATGAACATTTTCAATCCTATTCTAAATTTGTTTTATAATTTAAAGTGTCCATTTTCAAAGCAGGTTAAATATATTTATTCAAAGAACATTTACCACTAAAATTCTATATAACTTGGACCAGGGGTGGATTCTAATTTTTTTTTTACTACCGGCTCTGTGGGCGTGGCTTATTTTGTGGGCATGGTTTGATGGTCATGTGACAATTCTTTAGGATTTAGCAGAGGTACTGGTCTACCAGGCTTTTAACTGCTTGCAGAGCTGTACCGGTCTACCCATTTGTTTTTCGAGCGCACTGATCTACCACCACACTGCCTTTTAACACTGATCAGCTGTAGGGTGGCCTTTTGAAGCCCCGCGGCAAGAGTTTAAACAGTTTTTTTCCTTCTAGCCGATCAGCTGGGACTCGGGAGGCAGCGAATAGATTGGGGGCGAGGCCAAATAAAAGGTAAGAATAACACGGGGGCGTGCGGGAAGGTCCAGCTCCCGAATAAAGAGAACCAGTTCGGTGACGTCATATTGTCACTGCTACCGGCTCGGCTGAACCGGGCCGAACCGGGAGGAACCCACCACTGACTTGGACTCAGAAATCTACAGTATGTCTATCAATTAGACCTGCTAGTTTCTGATGATGTACAGTGAGTTTTTGCCACTGTCACCAAAGCATGACTGATAAGGAGGGTCTCCTCTGTGATCAAGCCTGGATATGGAACACATTATTATGGAAGTCCTATTTGGTCCCTTTTCTGTTTGAGAGGTCCTTATTTTTCCAAATGTCTGACTGGTCAAGTTGAGTAGTTTTGTTAGTTTGGCCCTTTGCTTTTAAGTTGCTTCTAACTATAGAACCTGTCTTTTTACTGTTTTTACTTCTATATGTATCTTATTATTCATTTATTTATGGATTTGCTTTATGATTTTTAAATTACTGTGAACACTCATATACTCTATTTATAGTGGAAGAATGTAAATCTTGTTGAATTTATAGATAAATGCTTAGGAAGGCCATACGAGTAAATACTATTGTATTGTAGGCAACAGCAATAGCACTTAGACTTATATACCATCCCATGGTGCTTTGCAACATTCTCTGAGAGCATGTAGAAAGAACCATCCACCCATAATATTGGGATGAAGTTGAGTGGATCAGGGATTGCTGCAGTATTGTGGGTGGCCAATTGACATGTGATGGGTGGGTTGAACAGCTGAATTTCAAATGCTGCTTCCCTTGCTTCAATTATTGAGTCTGCCTCAGCCTCCAACTGCTGTTAGTTAGCACCAGATCTGTATACAAGTACGGAAAGGAAAAGGAATGGGATACTGAGCTGCAATGAAATCTGCATTCTGGACACTGTAACAACTCTGATTGTAAGCAAGGCATTATTTTTAAATGAGATCTTTGTTATAAAAGCTAAATGTTAGCATTGTAGAGCTATGTGACTTCAATCTCCATGTCTTGGGAGTGAGTTCAGATTGGGAATAGGCTTTCATGTCCTACATGGCAACTATGGGCTTATCCCTGGAAATCTCTGGCCCAATACATATAAGCAGTCACATCTTAAACTTGATGGGAACAGTCACAAGTACATAAAATGGATCCTGAGGGCACTGGGGTATTTTCCCAATGATTAGATAAGCAGTCTGACTGAGCAAATTGTTGCTCTCTCAAAATCAGAATCAACCAGAGTATTGGATGAGATGTCCAAATGGCCTTTCCTTGATCAATGAGATTTGTGTATGTGTGTGTGTTTCTGGGAAGGGGAGTCCTAGATTTACTGAAGACATACAGATGAAAAGTTAAAGCGAGATCTCAAACAGTATGGCAGAAAACAAGCAGAATGTAATCAAAGATAACACCAGTTCAGGAATATTCCATGACAATAGCAGTAGTGATGCATGTTTATTTATTTCTTCTTGTTGTGTCTTCAGACTCATATCCAGCAGTTTGTTCAGCGTTACCCATGCCCTTCTGGACAGAGACGGGGAGAACTTCCTACAGACTACTGTGATATTTTTGCAGGATTTTCACAGATAAAAAACCACGTCAATTTCTCAGAGTTAAATGGCAATTCAGCAAAGTCTTGCAAGCTGACTTAGGCTGCATTTTACAAGATCATCTACTTTGAGAAAGATTGAAGAATCTGTGCCTCTCTTTTCAGGCAGCTATCTAGGATATGTGCAGATCAGTGGATACAGGAGGCGACTGTTTTCTCTTTGAACCAGGCAGTGATTTAACCTCTCCAGAAACAGTAGCTTCTTCACCCATCCTTGCTGGATAAACTCCTTCCAATCTCTAATCTCTGTTTCCTATCATGGAAACATTATGGGCAAGTTGGTAGGAATTCCACTATGAAGATTCTAAAGGAAATAAATGGGTTATTTCCTTTCCAATCAGGATTCAGGCCCAGGCATTGGATGCAAATAGCAATGGTTGTCCTGGTTGGTGATCTGTGTTGGGAAGTAGAGGGAGTGTACTTCTCCTGGCCCTACTAGATGTCTCAATGGCATTCAGTTTCATTAAACATGGCATTCATTTGGGCTACTTAAAAATAATTGGAACTGGGAAAATTGTGGTAGCTCTACTACTCCCTGAATGATCAATTCTATTTAATGTGTACGCAACAAAACATTTGAGTGCTTGTTACTGCACTCTGGAATGACACAGCGTTCATTCCTCTTTCTCATGCTGTTTAACTTCTACCCTGTTTCCCCCAAAATAAGACATCCCCTGATAATAAGCCCAATTGGGCTTTTGAGTGCATGGCAATAAGGCCAAGAGCTTATTTCAGGGTTCAAAAAATATAAGACAGGGTCTTATTTTCGGGAAAACACGATATCTGAAACTACTTATCTGTCAATTTGAGGTGAGGTATCAATATGATAAGGGCCACGAAAGTTCTGGTCCTAATTAAATTTCTTTTGTAAACAGTGGACTGCTTAATAATAGGGGAACCAATTTAGTAGCATTATAGTTTTGATTTGATTGCTGCTTGGCTTCCAATAGGGTCCTAGATTCAATTCAAGACATTAGTTTTAATCTTTATAGCCCAGCTTGTTTCAGCACCCATGTTTCTTCAGGATGCTCTCTCTCAAGTGGAATCAGTCCATTGAGTGGGTTCATATAAAGAAAGACTGCTGAGGATCCCCACACTATGTGAAGTGAAAGAATCAGAATTAGTCATGGAGGTTATAGTTTGAGAGAAATAGAGGGCAGAGCTTAATGTTTTCTTTTGTAATAGTTCTTCCACCCTCCACCCACCTCCTTCATGAGGTTCAACAGAAAAAAAATCAAATAATCTATTTGCAACCTGGTGCTTTCCACATGTTTTGGATTACAAGTTTTCACCAACCTGGCTATAATGAATGAGAACAATAAGAACTATAGTCCAAAAGATGTACAAAAAAACAGAAAGTCTATCTCTGGGACAAGTTGCTATTTCTCTTACAAAGCAGCATCTCATTTAGAAAGCTAGTTCTACAATATATATGATTTTAAAAAACAAAGTTAAAGAAAAATATACATTTACATATTTGTACATTTATTTGCAGTAACAAGAAAATAGAAAATGCTCTTACATTCTGCTAATTGTTGTTTCTCATATAAATAACCAACTTTCATTTGTGGCTCTACAAGAAGAAAAAAAACGAAGTTGGACTATCTTAACTTCTATTGCCAGCAAGCTGCTATTTTGTATTTTGGAAAAGTAGAGATATTTCACAAGGAAAAACAATGCTGGTCTATAACTGTTATAAAGATTTGATCAGTAAAAAAATTTTTCCCCCTTCTCTGATAAACTAAATTTGTTGTAAAACTGAGGCAATTTCAACAATGATACTAAACGAGTTTTATTCTAATTAACTTGACAACCGAATCCAAATCAAAACCAGTCTGTGCTGCTTGTGGAGGCAGCATGGAATGCTCAGACAAACTACCACTTTAATATGGACCAAAACAGGAAGTCATTCTAGCTGAAAAGACCTTTTGGCCCATCATGAATCTTCCAGGATTAAAAAGTTTAATCAGATAAAGAAAATTGATCATTCACTCTGAAATGCCCATTTCAAATATCAGGAAAGGAGGATCCAGGAAACCAACATCAGTGCATTCCTATGAATTTAGAATGCCCTCTACTGGATCTTCAATAAATAAAATGTAACAGTCTCTACCAATTTAATATATTGTACTTTATATTTTATACAAAAAATTAAAACTTCTTAAGTATATACTTTTTGTTGAAAAAAATGTTTAAAAGTAGGATGAGTTAATGGCTAACTAGTGGCAGAGCAAAGTAATTTGGAATAGTTTTGGTCCATGAGGAAAAAAAATCAACAATTGGACAAGATCTTTGTCAAAAACAAAGAAATAGAAAATTATAGAAATATCTGATATCTCATCAGGAAATAAGATGCCATACTATAAAAACAGGACAAGAAAGAGAAGTGGAAATACAAGGAAGATAATGTAGAAGTCCACATGAACAATCTTAAGAAATTATCTTACCAAGATGTGCAGACTTATATATTATATGATTTACTAGATATTATACAAGCTTCAGACTATGCTATGACTGTTGGAATAAAATAGGCACTTAATAATCAAATTACCCATTGTTGTAAATATACTACATAAATATGTAATCATAAAATACAAAATATACAATTTCTGAAATGCTGAATTTTTAACTGTAATCTTATTATAAGTGTCAAAAATTTACCTGGATCCTTCTTTTCATGGTACTGGTAGACGCCAATATCTTTGTCTGGATAATTAAGGAAATAGAACTTTAATTATTGCACTTAAAACCAATTAAATTTCTTTCCTCATCATGTTAAAATAAAATATACAGTGACACGAACATAATTCAAGTTGCCAGGTACAAATGAATGAGTGACAATTTTATATAGACATAATATAGATACACTTACATATACAGGTAAATACCTGAAAAAAAACTTTATTGCAATTACAACACAGTACATAACGAAGAGTATCTACTGTATCATATTAAATAGTTTGATAGAAGTTTGCTTCATGTTACATAATTGGGATATTATCCTCTCTGAAATAAGTAACAAAGAAGTCTGACAATCTATCTCATTTTCAGTTCAAAGTTTTACAGGTAAGTATTCTTTCTGCAAAGTTTTAAACAATTAGGAGATCAAGTTAGAATGAACATTGGAGCTTACCTGAATGTTCGATCTATGTGCGCTGCAGGAGAGTCCAAACAATGGGTTCAAGTTTAGCTTGGTTGGCCAGAGACTGAGTTGAATTTGCCTAGCCACGCCTCTTTCTCCCATGAGCCTTCAGTGTTTCGACGAAGAGGTCTGTAGAAGACGTAGCAATGATGATAGAATAATGTCCACTATAACTAGGTGTTGGATGCTGGACCGCCACAGTAGGGCGGGGATGGACTCTCCTGCAGCGCACATAGATCGAACATTCAGGTAAGCTCCAATGTTCAATCTCCTGTGCGCTGCTTGGAGAGTCCAAACAATGGGATATACCCAAGCTAAGTATCCCTAGGGCGGGAGTCCAAGCGGTCCAGGTGTCGTTAGCCTGGTAGAACCTGCTGCAGGACTCTTCTGCCAAACGAAGCCTTGGCCGAGGCAAAAACGTCCAACTTGTAATTTCTGATAAAGGTAGTGGGAGAAGCCCAAGTTGCAGCCCTGCAGATCTCCAATATGGAAGCCTGAGTAGCCCAGGCTGCCGTGGTGGCAGCGCTACGAGTTGAATGCGCAGTGATGTTTCTAGGCACTGGAGTAGATTGGTGTTCGTAAGCCATTGCGATGCAAGCTTTGATTCATCTCGCAACTGTAGATGGGGTAACTTTTTTCCCCATGGCAGTAGGCTGGAATGATACAAATAGTGATTCAGACTTCCTGAATGATGCGGTCCTGTCAATATATTTGCGGAGTGTCCTATGAACGTCGAGCGTGTGCCAACGTTGTTCTCTAGAATGTGCTGGGTCAGGGCAAAAGTTAGGTAAAACCACCTCCTGTGCCCTGTGAAACCAAGAATTGACTTTTGGTACGAAAGTCGGGTCCAACCTGAGGACCACCCTGTCGGAGTAAAAGATGCATAGATCTCCACGTACCGACAGTGCCGCCAGTTCGGAGATCCTTCTTGCAGAAGTGATTGTTATCAAGAAGGCGACCTTGAAGGTAAGTATTTTGAGGCTGGCGGATCCTAAGGGCTCAAACGAGCAGACATGAGTGCTTGCAAAATGAGAGGCAAGTCCCAGGAAGGATACCTATGGACTGGAGGAGGCCGTAAGTTAGCAACTCCCCGAAGAAAACTCCTCACCTTGGGGTGTTGAGAGAGAGGGATAGGACCCTCTCCCTGTAGAATAGTCGCTAAGGCGGCCACCTGTCTGCGGAGCATGTTGGCAGTAATCCCCATTTGAATCCTGAGTGTAGGAAATTCAAGACATCCGGAAGAGAAGCTGCCCTGGGAGGAATGTCCGATTTTCGGCACCAGCTAGAGAAAGTTGACCAAGTGGCGTCATAAATCCTGGTGGTAGATGGACGACAAGATGCCTGGATGAGGGAAACGACCTCGCTTGAGAATCTGGAGTCCCTCAGGATTTCCCGCTCAATCGCCAGACGGCCAGTTGGAGCCACTGGGGCTCGGGATGTTGAACTGCCCCCTGGCTTAGGACAATCCTGTCTGGCGGAATCCTCCATGGACGGGACACTGACAGTGACACTAGGTCCGCAAACCAAACCCTTCTGGGCCAGTGCGGAGCCACCAACAGAATTGCTGCCTGCTCGTCCAGAAGCTTCCGGATGACCCTTGGTAGTAGAGGTGTTGGAGGAAATGCATATAGAAGGCCTCGAGGCCAGGGCGCCCAAAGGACATCTGTTGCTTCTGCCCCCGGCGTCAGGAATCTGGAAAAGAACCATGGTAGGTGAGTGTTCTTTGGTGTTGCAAACAGATCCACGCATGGTTGGCTAAACCTGGTCGTCAGTTGGTGAAACAGGTCTGGATGGAGACGCCATTCGGAGTGGTCGACAGTTGTTCGACTCAACCAGTCCGTCTGTTCGTTGTGTGCGCCTGAAATATGTTCCGCTTGGAGGGAGAGCAGGTGAGACTCGCTGCTTCAGACATCAGGTCCTTGGACCGGGTGCCTCCCTGCCTGTTCACATGTGCCTTGGCAGTCACATTGTCGGTTAACAGCAACACATGATGGTTGGTTAGCGAGAGGTGGAAATGACGGAGAGCTAGGTGGGCAGCTCTGAGTTGCAACCAATTTATGTTGTGTAACAGATCCTGTGGTGACCATCTGCCCTGTGCCATCTGGGAACCCAGGTGAGCCCCCCAGCCAAATAGACTGGCATCTGAAGTTAGTGTTAGACGTGGCGGTTCCTTGAAGAGACAGCCTTTCTCTAGGGAAGGTGATGTCCACCAGTTCAGGGAGTGGAGAACTTTTGGAGGCACTCTGACTCTTGTTGTGGAGTGACTGATCCCTGCTCATTGGCTCGGTAGGAGGAACCATTGTAAGGTTCGGGAATGTAACCTTGCCCAAGGAACGATGGCCAGACATGAAATCATTTTCCCTAGCAACTGGGACAATACTGCGAGGGAGACAGACCTGGCTGACTTGACCCGATGTATCAAGGCCCGTATGCTGACTAGACGTTCTGGTGACAGAAAAACCTGGCAACTGACTGTGTCTATCCGGGCACCTAAATGAAGGATAGAATGGGATGGAATTAACTGGCTCTTTTCTAGATTTATTGAAAACCCGTGAAGTTGCAGAGCCTGAATAGTCTCTGACAAATCCTGTCTCGCCTGCCTGATGGATGAAGATTGAATCAAAATGTCGTCAAAAAGCCTGATTGGGCGAGCCCGCAGATGGGCTGCCACCACGTCCAGGAGCTTTGTGAACGTCCTGGGGGCAGAGGACAGGCCGAATGGAGGGCCCTGTATTGGAAGTGTTGCCCTGCGTAACAGAATCTGAGATGTTTCCTGTGTGAAATCCGAATCGGTATGTGCAGGTAGGCTTCCTTTAGATTTATGGATGTAAGCAGATCCCCCTGTCTGATGCAATTTAGAATAGAGGTTAAGGATTGCATCTTGAATCTCTTGTATTTGATGTGTTTGTTGAGTCTTTTTAGATCTAGTATTCCCCTGCAATCCCCCGATTTCTTGGGAACCAGAAAGAGGATCGAGTAGAAACCGAGACCCTTCTGTGAGACAGGCACCGGTTCTATTGCCTGGATGGAAAGTAGATGAAGGATCTTGGCTTCCATCAGAGACCTCCTGGTGGCATCCCTGGAAAGAGTGCAAGAGATGAATCTCCCTGGAGGGAGGGATGAAAACTCCAATGTGAGACCGAGCCGGACGGTTTGCAGAGCCCAGGCGTCGGTTGTGATGAGCTCCCATTGGGCTGAGAACCTTAAGAGGTGGCCTCCAATGGGAACGTGTGACTGGGAGTCATTTGGACCTGCGGTAAGGTCTACCGCCGGCCCCTCGAAAGGGTCTCCTAGACTGGGGTTGTCTAGACCTGTCCCTGAACTGAGCCCTATCCTGGGATCAGTCTGAAGTTGGAGGGTAAGTCCTCTGATAGGTTGGGGTGGAGTAACCGCCCTCCGCCACACGAAAGGACTGCCTGCGATAATATGGAGAGTATCTCCTGTCTGTCCTCCTGTGAGACAGGGGAAGTACCTTCCTTTTATCCTTGGTCTCTACCAAAATGGGATCTAAAACATCACCAAAAAGATTATTGCCCTGAAAAGGAGCAGACGCCAATTTCCATTTGGATTTCATATCGGCTTGCCAATGGTGAAGCCATAATAATCGTCTGGAAGTCACATTAGAGGCCAGGGCCCTGGAAGCGAACTTAGCCGCATTAAGGGTTGCATCAGCAGAGTATTCTGCTGCAACAATTAATTTGTTGATGTCCTGGTGTAATCTGACATCTCCATGGGGAGCTCTTGCCTGCATTTGGCACAGCCACAGGAGGGAGGTTCTATTAAAGAAGGAAGCTGCCGTGGCTGATCTGATCGTCCAGGCAGCTGCTTGATGTGTCTTACAAGCTGACATCTCAGCTTTCCTATCCTCGGTCTTCAGCCCTTCTGCAGAGTCTGAGGGGAGAATATTGGAAGATACTAGATTGGCAAAGGGAGTATCTATTGTAAGCAACTTAAGCATGTCCTCAACCTCCTGTTCTACAGTGTACATCTTTTTGTCTAATCCGCTGGGATTAGAGCATGACCCAGGTTGAAGCCATTGTTTCTTGATAATGTCTATGAATAATCTGGGAGAAGGAACAGCGTCCTGGGTAGTGACCGGTTCTGTAAATAATCGAGCATGGGGATCCTGCTCAGCCGAGCAGTCAGATGCCCCAGCCACAACCCCTAGATTGGCCATGGTTTTGGCCTTGTATAACAAGGTCTTGAACATGCTAGGGTTGAAAAGGCCAGTGAAGGCTGGTTTGTCTGGAGATCTGCCTTCATCTTCAGAAAGATCATGATCTGCAAATTCTTCCTCCTCCCCAGTATAAGACCATTCACTGCCCTGAGAATCATGAGGCGAGTGAGGGGCCTGGGAATAAACCCTATTCTGGTGGGCTTGGTGTACATTGGGAGTGGCACCAGCTGAGTCGGGAGCAGGAATGCCCCTTCTAAGCAGGGCAGAGTCTATGCCCTGGACAATGAGCTAACATCTGGCAGAGTTCCTGGGAAAGAACAGGGGTCTGGTTTACCTCAGGGCGGAGCCCCGCCGCTGTAGGGGTGAAAGTAGCTGAAGGAGCTAACCTCCTAGGTACTGGAATGACTCCCTGATCAGATGAGCCCTGTTCTGATATGGGAATAACCTCCACAGCACTCTCAATTAATTCAGTTGGAGGATCTGAGGTAATATCTGGAGACCAATTCAATCTATCTTCGTTTGAAGCAGAAGGAGGTGTATCCTGAATTGGAGGGATATTAGGCTCTGGGTGAACAATGACAAAGCCTAGGCCTGAGGAGGCTTCTGCCTGCTTTTTTGTCTTTGCAAATTGTTTCTCTAAGGCTTTTTGCCTTCTTTCTGCATCCTTATCAACAGCTGTGGAAGAAGAGGCCTTGGATCTGGTGGAAGGCCCAGGCTGAGCCCCAATTGCCTTACTGTGATCTGAAGACTTAGCTCTCTTAGAAGCAGAAGAATGGGATGCAGTACTTTTGGAGTGAGAGGAGCTGCGATCTGCCATCTTGGAATGACAAGAAAAAAAGGCAATTCAATCAGAAGAGCTTACTAGGACAATGATTATAATAGTGATATTATTCCTCACTCCAGTATTGGTAAATATGGCGCCAAACTGACACAACAGTGTGTAAGCGCAATTTTCCACTGCTGTTAGGTATTAGGCGTGAGACTGATCAATGACCAGCTCTAATAACGCTATGAGAGAAAGGCAGCAATAATCAAATGGCGCAGGACAGACACAACAATCCCCAAACCACAAAAGGCAATAGCAGTAAATCAGCCAGAAATGCTAGGCCCGATCACCAAACTTACGGGGCTCCTTGCTGTGTTTCCGATAAAAAAAGACTGCTAATTAACAATCCCACGACGGTTTCTGAAGCGTTTGAGGCTTTCCACTGCGTTTCTGAGCTGTTAGGAGCCGAATTTGCTTTTAAAAGGATCGCCTCCGCTGTGCTGTTAATGGCGGCAATTAGGATCAGCCCCTGAGGCAAGAGAGGAGCTGAGGGAGTTGAAGCGCTGGAAAAGACACCTAGAGAGTAGTTGGAGGGCTAGTCTTTCTGAATCTGACCGGACACTAGTAAGATCCCACATTAGGAATTACTTAGTGGCGATAAAAGCAGCGAAATGTAGTTATTTTGCTGCTCTTATTGCGTCATCAGATAATCGCCCGGCCGCCCTTTTAGGGTGACCCGCTCCCTGCTCCACCAGGAAGCGCGGGAGGACCCCTTGGAGGGTAGAGCCGAGGATTTTGTTCAGTATCTGTATGACAAAATCACTCAGATTTGGGAAGATTTGGACTCCGACTGGGTAGTCTCAGGGGGAGAGACAGGGGCAGGTCTTGAGAATGTTATCTGGGATGAGTTTGATCCTGTGACCCCTGAGGACGTGGACAGGATTCTGGGTAGACTGAACGCGACCACTTGTTTATTGGACCCGTGTCCTTCCTGGTTAGTACTGGCTTCCCGGGAAGTGACACGAGGCTGGCTCCAGGGGATTATAAACACTTCGCTGAGTGAGGGTGACTTTCCCGTCGCCTTGAAAGAGGCGGTGGTGAGGCCTCTCCTCAAGAAGCCTTCCCTGGACCTGGCAATGTTGGTAAATTATCGTCCGGTCTCCAACCTTCGCTTTGTTGCAAAGGTTGTTGAGAGTGTGGTCGCGCAACAGCTCCCCCAGTACCTGGATGAAACGACGTATCTGGATCCGTTCCAGTCGGGCTTCAGGCCCGGGTACAGCACGGAAATGGCATTGGTCGCCTTGGTTGATGATCTCTGGAGGGCTCGGGACAGGGGGTGCTCCTCTGTCCTGGTCCTGTTAGATCTCTCAGCGGCTTTTGATACCATCGACCATGGTATCATGCTGCACCGGTTGGAAGAGTTGGGGGTGGGAGGCACTGTGTTGCGGTGGTTCTCCTCCTTTCTCTCTGACCGGTCGCAGTCTGTGTTGACAGGGGGACAGAGGTCGACCCCGAGGCCCCTCATATGTGGGGTGCCGCAAGGGTCGGTCCTCTCGCCTCTGCTGTTCAACATTTATGTGAAGCCGCTGGGCGAGATCATCCGTGGTTTCGGGGTGGAGTACCATCAGTACGCTGACGACACCCAGCTGTACATCTCCACCCCGGATCACCCCAACGATGCCCTTGAAGTGATGTCCCGGTGCCTGGAGGCCGTACAGATCTGGATGGGGAGGAACAGGCTCAGGCTCAACCATCCAAGACTGAGTGGCTGTGGTTTCCGACGCCCGATATAGTCAGTTGACGCCATCACTGACTATTGGGGGCGAATCATTGGCCCCCACGGAGAGGGCTCGCAACTTGGGCGTCCTCCTGGATTCACGGCTGTCTTTAGAAGAGCACTTGACGGCCGTGACCGGGAGGATTTTTCATCAGGTTCGCCTGATTCGCCAGTTGCATCCCTTTCTGGATCGGGACTCGTTACGCACGGTCACTCATGCCCTTGTCACCTCCCGCCTGGACTATTGCAACGATCTCTACATGGGGCTCCCCTTGAGGAGCACCCGGAGGCTCCAACTGGCGCAGAGTGCGGCTGCGCGGGTGGTAATGGGAGCGACATGGCGTTCCCATGTAACACCCCTCCTGCGCGAGCTGCACTGGCTCCCGGTGGTCTTCCGGGTGCGCTTCAAGGTTCTGGTTACCACCTTTAAAGCGCTCCATGGTTTAGGACCCGGGTACTTGCGGGACCGCCTACTACCACCAATAGCCTCCCACCGGCCGGTACGCTCCCATAGAGAGGGGCTCCTCCGGGTGCCGTCAGCCAAACAATGCCGACTGGCGGCCCCCAGGGGGAGAGCCTTCTCTGTGGGGGCACCTACTATCTGGAACGAGCTGCCCCCAGAGATACGGAGGATCCCGGATCTGTGCACCTTCCGCCGCGCCTTAAAGACCTTACTATTTCACCAGGCCGGCCTGGCCTAATTTTCCCCCTCTTTTATAAAAGATTTTTAAAATTTTAAATATCTTTTAGTATTTTATATATTCAATTTTAAATTGGTTTTAAAAGTTTGGGGTTTTAAATTTGTCGGGGCCAAAATTATTTAATTTGATTTTATTCTATTTTTTAAATTTTGTATTGTATGTGTTTTTATTGTTTGGCTGTGCACCGCCCTGAGTCCTTCGGGAGTAGGGCGGTATAGAAATCTAATAAAATGAAATGAAATGAAATTAGCTCCGGAGCTAATTAGCTTCACGGAGCTCCTGGCGGTCGCTGCGCACCGCTGGGAAACACCTCAGACTGTTAGAGTTAAGTTTTAAGAGAAAAGGGAGAAAGAGGGCTTCTTCTGTGGCTGGCAGAATATTTTAAAGATTTTTTCTAAGACGGAGAATTTTAAAGCAAGTCTCTTTAGGCCGATTGAGTTGAAACACTGAAGGCTCATGGGAGAAAGAGGCATGGCTAGGCAAATTCAACTCATTCTCTCGCCAACCAAGCTAAACTTGAACCCATTGCTTGGACTCTCCAAGCAGCGCACAGGAGATATCACCATTTTTTGTTCAGATGGTGTTGATTGGAGAATGAATGCTGTCACTTGAAGAATGAATAACAAGTTTTTGTACACTGTATGAATCTGGAAACTAAGTGCAATGCACCACATTAAGCTTAATATTAACATGGTTTGGAAAGTTTCTTTAAAAATTGGGAAAAAAAGATAACATCTGTTTTACCTTCAACATATAAGATGCTTTTCACAGACCAGAGATGCATTTCAGAGAGAAAGACAGTCATCTATAACAGTATGCACTTAATTCTAGAGAAAAAAGAGATGGAAGCAACAATTAGATGAAAAATAATGAAATTTCTTTATCATTGTACAACTGTATATATATAACTGTATTTTATATATATATATATACATTTTCTAAGACGGAGAATTTTAAAGCAAGTCTCTTTAGGCCGATTGAGTTGAAACACTGAAGGCTCATGGGAGAAAGAGGCATGGCTAGGCAAATTCAACTCATTCTCTCGCCAACCAAGCTAAACTTGAACCCATTGCTTGGACTCTCCAAGCAGCGCACAGGAGATATCACCATTTTTTGTTCAGATGGTGTTGATTGGAGAATGAATGCTGTCACTTGAAGAATGAATAACAAGTTTTTGTACACTGTATGAATCTGGAAACTAAGTGCAATGCACCACATTAAGCTTAATATTAACATGGTTTGGAAAGTTTCTTTAAAAATTGGGAAAAAAGATAACATCTGTTTTACCTTCAACATATAAGATGCTTTTCACAGACCAGAGATGCATTTCAGAGAGAAAGACAGTCATCTATAACAGTATGCACTTAATTCTAGAGAAAAAAGAGATGGAAGCAACAATTAGATGAAAAATAATGAAATTTCTTTATCATTGTACAACTGTATATATATAACTGTATTTTATATATATATATATACATACACATATATATATATATATATTATATATATATATATATATATATATATATATTATATATATATATATATATATATATATAGGTCTTTGGTTTATTCGGGTCTTCTCCCACGTAAAATTGGAAATGTCTTGGCAACGTTTCAACGAAGTCTCATTCGTCATATATATATATATATATATAATGTGTGTGTGTGTATGTATTCACACTTATTTCTTTAATTTTCTACCTTAAAGTTGTATTTAGTTGCATCCCTCCCCAACAGAACAAATGACTTAGATTTGCCTCTTCTGTGTTCCCAAATCTGCCCCAGTGATTTGGAAACTCGCTGCAGGACACTTGGGGTTATGTAAGGAATGCAAATAGGAGAAGAGAAAAGGAGAGAATGCCAATAGTATTAGCAGATATTGTATGTAGCCCTCTGAAATCAGGTGTTGTTGAAAAGGAGTGCTTGAATGTAACATAATCATACTGCCATAAATCTTGGCAGTAAAGCTGCAGAGTAATAATTTACATAAAAGACTAGCAATTGCTTTTTGAGTAGATGATGGTGTTGATGTCTGTGGAATGCAAATATGACTAAAGGACATTTAAGGTGAAGAAAAAAAGCAGGCATGAACTGAAATCCAGCAAACAGCCAAGAAATAATATCAGAATATTATACCATTCCTTGAAATGACATCTTGCACACAATTTTTAAATGCATAAAATAGCTTATAAAAGCTATTTACCTTTGTTACCTTCTGGGAGGAGTCTTTGTGGTATCCGAAGCAGAATAACTATAATAGTTTTGTACCTTATAGTATCAACCTGGATCCAGGAAAGCTCCCTGGTTTACCGAGGAGCTCCAGGAGGTGAAGCGCCAGAAGAGACATCTAGAGCGACACTAGAGGACCAGTAACTCCGAATCTGACCGAACACTCTTAAGAGCCTATATTAGGACTTATTTAGTGGTGATACGGGCGGCAAAATGTTCACATTTTTCCGCACTTATTGCATCCGCTGATTCGTGCCCAGCCGCCCTATTTAGGGTGACACGCTCCCTCCTTGATGTAGGGGGAGTGGAGGAGCCCTTGCAGGGTAGAGCTGAGGAGTTTGTGCAGTTTCTGTCGGATAGTCACTCAGATTCGGATGGACCTGGACTCTGATTGGGCAATTCCGACTGAGATGACGGGGGCAGGTCTTAATCCTATTGTGTGGGATGAGTTTGAGCCTGTGACTCCTGAGGAAGTCGACAAGGCTGCAGGGCCGATGAGTTCCTCCACTTGTTGGACCCGTGTCCCTCCTGGCTAGTCTCAGCCAGCAGGGAGATGAAACGAGGCTGGCTCCAGGCTTTAGTTAACGCGTCCTTGAGGGAGGGGTCCTTCCCGCAACTATTGAAGGAAGCAGTCATAAGGCCCCTCCTCAAGAAGCCTTCCCTGGATCCAGCAGAATTAAAGAACTTTCGTACAGTCTCCAACCTACCCTTTGTGGGAAAGGTTGTAGAAAAAGTGGTGGCACTTCAGCTCCTGCGGTCATTGGATGAAACAGATTATCTGGACCCTTTTCAGTCTGGCTTCAGGCCTGGCTACAGCACAGAAACTGCTTTGGTCACACTGATGGATGATCTCTGGCGAGCCCAACATGGGGGTCATTCCTCCATCTTGGTGCTACTTGACCTCTCAGCGGCTTTCGATACCATTGACCATGGTATCCTTCTGGGACGACTAAGGGAGTTGGGAGTGGGAGGCACCGTGTTACGGTGGTTCTCCTCCTATCTCTCTGGTCGGTCACAGTCGGTGTTGGTAGGAGGACAGAGGTCGACCCCTAGGCCCCTCGTTTGCGGGGTGCCTCAGGGCTCGGTCCTCTCTCCCCTCCTATTAAACATCTAACTGAAGCCGCTGGGTGAGATCATCCGACGATACGGGGTGAGATATCAGCAGTACGCTGATGATACCCAGCTGTATATCTCTACCCCGCGTCAATTCAGTGATGCAGTGGTGCTTGGAGGCTGTGAGGATCTGGATGGGAGTTAACAGGCTCAGACTTAACCCAGACAAGACCGAGTAGCTGTGGGTATTGCCTCCTAAAGACTATGTTGATTGTCCATCCTTGGTTCAAGGGGGGGAGAAATTGTCCCCCTCACAACGGGCTCGCAATTTGGGTGTCCTCCTAGACTCACAACTAAGATTAGAGCAACATCTGACAGCTGTGGCTAGGGGGACCTTTGTACAAGTTCGCCTGGTGCACCAATTGCGACCCTACTTGGATTGGGAAGCTCTCCTCAGTGTCACTCATGCCCTTGTCACCTCACGGTTAGATTATTGCAACACGCTCTACATGGGGCTACCCTTGAAAAGTGTTCGGAGACTACAGTTGATCCAGAATGCAGCCACGCGAGCTGTCATGGATGCACCTAGATACACTCACAGTACACCAATTCTCCGCGAGCTGCACTGGCTCCCTATTGCTCCGGGCACAATTCAAGGTGTTGGTTATTACCTTTAAAGCCCTACATGGCTCAAGGCCAGGTTATCTTTGAGACCTCCTTTTACCGCATAGCTCCCAGCAACCGGTAAGATTCCACAGAGTTGGTCTCCTCCGGGTCCCGTCAGCTAAACAATGCCGGCTGGCGGGCCTGCGGGGGAGGACATTCTCTGCGGCTGCCCCAGGTCTTTGGAACCAGTTACCTCTTGAGGTCCGGACCACCCCCACCCTATTGGCCTTCCGAAAAGTGGTGAAGACCTGGCTTTTCCGGCAGGCCTGGGGCCGTTGATCTCGCTATTGCGATCTTGTAAGATCTGGCCATGAATGGTGTGAATGGGTTTTAATGTTTTAATTTTTAAATGTTTTTATAATGGTTTTTTGTTTTTTTGTTTTTAAATGCATTGTAGGCCGCCCTGAGTCTCCGGAGAAAGGCGGCATATAAATTGAATTAATAATAATAATAACCTTGTTAACTCTCAAGACTCTTTTTTCTGCTATGTATTCAAAATGGACTATGATTTATATATATATATATATGTATATATATGTAGAGTGTGTGTGTGTGTGGCATATGTATAGGTGTGTGCATGTATGTGTATGAGTATATATTTATTTTTTTTAGCAAGTTGGCGTCAGAATTTCATTTTTAATGTGTGCCAGTGTATTCACAGAAAAAACCATCTTAAGATCCATTGAAACATCCACTGATTTTTTCATATCTCTTCTGTCTGAATACTTAATAGTATTTATATAATTATCAAACATAGAGGTGATAATTTTTAGTAGCAAGAAATTATATTTAATAATTTCAGTATTCTGTTATAGCATCTTGAAGTCTTGCTCACTGGTGAATCCAGTAAGCAAATATTAAAATATTTACTCTTTGCAATAGAAAATAACTAAATAGTTAGAAGTTTTTCAAGTTATCCTCTCTCAATTCACATGCATAATTATATACTTATGCATTGCCCCAAGTGAAAATTTTTAGATCTTAAGAGTCTTCGATGTGAACTCCATCCATTCATAACATGCTGCTAGGCATAACATCCACTGAACATACTTCTGTTCCTAAAACCATTGCAGACAATCTTAAGAAACAAAGACTATGTAGTATAAGAGGGCAGGTTGAAAAACTATCGTTAAAAATAACTAACCAGTTTTTTGTTATGATCTCTGCAAGTCACATATTGATGGCTTGCAAGCTTTTCATCTGAATCAGGTGGATAAGTGTGGACAGATGAATCCATATAGCTGCCTGGTATAGTTCTAGAATGGTTATAGCCTGGAAGAAGTGTGAGAAAGTTGGCATTTATCAAACTTATTTATTTATTTTATTTATATATCAAACTTCTTAACTGTCCATCTCACTCATAGATGGGTGCTGGGAAGTGTACAATTTACCATATTTTTCACACTATAAAACGCACTTGATCATTATTTATTATTTATTTTATTAGTCGCATTTCTATGCCGCCCAACTCCCTAGGGACTCTGGGCGGCTTACAGCAAAAAAGACAATGCGAACAATATCCTGTAAAAAATATTTAAAAGAGAACATTAAAAACCCATACACTCCATTTCATGGCCGATCATAAGATGCATCTAGGTTAAGAGGAGGAAAACAAAAAAATAAATATCAGGCAGAGCCTGAAAGGACTACAGATAGGTGTCCTCTCATGTACCAGCTCTGCCTATTGACTCTTGCACTGCGGAAAAGAGACAGAAGAGGCGGGAAATGACAAAGACAGAAGAGGCAGGGTTCAGCACTATAAAACGACCCAGTTGCCGTGGCCTGGCTGCTATTCACCAAAAGACCGGCACTGGTCCACCGTTGGGGACCCCTGAGGTAATGCACTACAGTGTCTCTGACGCAATGTTCGCTCCATAAGACGCACAGACATTTCTATCCACTTTTGGGGGGAGAAAGTGTGTCTTATGGAGCAAAAAATATGGTAATTAATATAGTAAAACATTAAAAATTAAATGATTTCAGATTTAAAATGTTGAACCTATACATATTGTGGAAATAATGGTGTGTTCCTTGCTATATGTTAAATTCCACTTTTAATCTGAGAGCAATACTTTGCAAAGATACCATCTGAGATTGAACTTCAGCACATGACAATGACCAAAACTACAAAAAGAATATTCCAAGCACAGCAACTGTTTGGCCATCCTTCTAAAAGAAGTAAAGTGTCCACAAATGCTACATAAGGGGTAGACATGTAACCAAGGAGTCAATTTTGTTAAATGTATGGATATGTTCTTTACTAAGAAAGGAGAAAGTTGGTTTTTACCAAAAGGTGAATCTAGTCATGATATAGGGAGTAATGCTATGTTCCTTGAAATAAGTAAAGTTACCTTTTGTTCCAGGTAAGTGTTGAGTCAAAGCTGATCTTTACAAATAAAGATCAGTTTACTTCTTCTGTCATTTGATTATGTGCCATCTTGTATTAGCTCTTGGTAACTACTTAGATTTTCTGCAGGATAATCTGTCTCCAATCTGTATCTTTTATTTCCTCTTCATAAATGACCAGGTTGAGAGCTGGTTGTCATTTTGACAGGAAGTCTAGTGAACATTTCCAAAACAATCAACAAATGAAGATAGTTCTGCCTTCATAGAAAACACGTTTCTAGCACCACCACCAACAAAATAAACCACATACAAATCAGATTTTTGCTATATTAAATTGTTTATATATAGATTTAGCATTTGAAAGTAGAATATTAGCTTGAATTCTTGTGTTGTGATCGTAATCTGTTTTAGTAAATATTACCATATTAATGCTGTGATGTTATATTCTTTTAAAATAAATATTATTATTAATATCAGTAATCATTTGCAATAATATGTAAACAATTGAATTAATATTATTTATTTTTCACAATGATATATTCTTCACTTTTATTTTTTGGGGAGTAATGGATACCCCTCTCCCTCATATTCTATTAAAATTTGTTTTCATAATATTAAAATTAAAAATAAGGAGAAGATTTAGAGAATCTAACTTGTGGGATGCCTCAGGGGTCAGATCTCTCCCCCCCTACTCTTTAACATCTATATGAAGCCTCTGGGTGAGATCATTCGTGGTTTCGGGGATGCCCTTTCCGTGATGTCCCGATGCCTGGAGGCAGTGTGGGTCTGGATGGGTAGCAACAGACTCAGACTCAACCCTTCCAAGACTGAGTGGCTGTGGTTGCCGGCATCACACGCTCTAGAGGTCCCGTCACTTTTGATGGGGGGAGGTACTTGCCCCCGTTGAAAGGGCCCGCAACTTGATGGGGGGAGGTACTTGCCCCCGTTGAAAGGGCCCGCAACTTGGGTGTCCTCCTGGATTCCCAGCTGTCTTTAGAAAACACTTGACGGCCGTGACCAGGGGGGCTTTCGCACAGGTACGCCTGGTGTGCCAGTTGCGCCCTTTCCTAGATGCCCTTCGCACAGTCACTCATGCCCTGGTTACATCCCGCTTGGATTACTGCAATTCCTTCTACATGGGGCTGCCCTTGAGGTGCACCCGGGGGCTCCCGCTGGTCCAGAATGCGGCCACGTGGGTGGTTACGGGAGCTCGTTACTCCTGTGTAACACCTCTCCTGTGCGAGCTGCACTGGTTACCAGTGGTCCACCAGATTCACTTCAAGGTGCTGGTATTGACCTATAAAGCCCTACATGGCTTAGGCCCGGGGTACTTTTAGGACCATCTCCTGCCTGCTTCCCACCATCCTGTCCGCTCTCATAGAGCCACTCTCCTCAGGATACCGCTGACCAGGCAATGCCATCTGGCGACGCCCAGGGGTAGGGCGTTCTCTGTGGGCACCCCTACCCTTTGGAATGAACTACGCACTGAGCTCCAGACGGCCCCGGATCTCTGCTTCTTCCATCGAGGCCTTGGCTATTCCAATGAATGGGCTGATGCTGATTCTTGGGTTTTATTATTTATTGATTTTAATTTGGTTTTAACAGGATTTTACTATTTTATCATTGTATGTTTTTAACCTGTGTTCGCTGCCCTGAGTCCTTTGGGAGAAGGGCAGCATATAAATATACCAAATAAATAAATGAATAAATAAATACTCAAAGAACTTAAAAGACAAACATCCTTTCACCAGTCAAAAACAGAGTAAAGGAGGTTTAGCAGGAGCTACACCTCACTGCATGGTACATATGAGGGGGGTTCTTGTGAAAGAGCCTTAAGCTTTAGAAGCTACAGAGCAGGGCTCTAAAAAGGCTCATAACCAATATATATGAAACAGAGGCCAAAATGAATTTTATGGATTACTGTTACTTCAATAAATAATATTAGATCAAGTTGGTATTATAGTTGAGTAACTTTTGTCACTCAATCAGATTCTACATATTTGGGTAGTAATGTTGCATACTCTTTCTGGTTTTAACCATTGAGTTGAGACAGAAAATTATTTTCATCTATAACTTTTGTTTATTTCTACAACACCAACAAAGGCTACATTATCTACCCTATAAGCTTCGCTCTCATGCTTAGAAGGTTAGACTTTGAACCTAGGAACAATGAACAGTTTTCCTGTGGTTAAGTGTTCCTGTACCTCTCTTTGCTCACAGCTTTTGATACTTCCTGAAAATTCCAACAGTAATTTGTGCATCATAAATGAAGGTGAGTTAGTGAAAGGGGCAGGGCTTCCCCATCTCTGGTGGAATTATGGAGGATTTTTTTTTCATGTTGCTGCCTCTTCCAGCATCCCTCACCATTGGTTATATTAGCAGGACCGGCTGGATTTGTTATTCAGTGATACAGTTCCTACTACTGACTAATTATTTTGGATCCAAGACAACATTAGACAAAACATTATAGGATAAGTACAAAATGAAAAAAGCAAGATAGGTATATATTAAATGGCGTATGAACAAACACATTTTAATTAATCATTACGAAGTACCCATATATGCAAGAAGATAAGGAACATAATATCTCTGGAACAGGCTAATTTAAGGAATTAAAAGTTTTGGAAACCATCCTGTGGGGAGGACATGAAGAGAAGATGTGAGTTAAAGTGAAACATAGATTTGGCAATGTATACCATTAAAATTGAAACAAAACTGTTGAACGGAACTCTGCAGAGAAGGGTTTATTATTTCTGGTAATGTTTAATAGCTTTTATTTTTGTTTGCATGCAATGTTTAATTGTTAAGAGAGGGATGACTGGGGGATTTAGATATGGGATGAAGATATCTGGTTATATTTTAAGAGACAGTAATAAGCTGTTAATGTTGAATATGTTGTCTGAAGATAAAGGAAAAAGGTTTTTTTCTTACTATCTTTGGGGGGGGGTTCCACAATTTGTTTGTTAAAATATATTTTTGTGTATTTCATCCATTTTATATAATTCTTTTAAAAAATTGTTGAAAAAGGGAATTGTGCAGAGAAAAAAATCCAATACTGAGGTTATAAGTGGATGTAATGGGTAGAAATGATTTAATTAATGGAAGAAAAGTGAAAGAAAGGATGACACAAATTTTTCTATTTGAGGAAGGATGTCTATGAAGATTCTCAATCATTCAATCATGGTTGTCTTAAAGGCGCCTTTACAAAAGGCCAGTGGACTTTGCTTTCTTTTTCTTTGAAAATGTTTTGCTTCTCGGATGAGAAATAAAACATTTTCAAAGAAAAAAACCAAGAAAGTCCAGTTGCCTTTTGGAAAAAGTATTTCTGGGATATTTGAGGAAGGCCTGCTGTTTTTAGGCAGAGTTAAAGATCACCAAAGTTTAATTTCATTTAATTTCTGCTTGTTTGTTATAATGACTAAAATATATGTTCTTTTCTCACATGTTCATTTCTTGTGCTAAATTCACTTTAAACTAGTTTTTCCCCCCTACACAATGTTCTAAAGTCCATTGAAGAAGGTAAAAGAAACTAAAAAAAAAAAAAAAAGAATTTTCCTCTATCTTGTATATTGTAATGTGAATGCCTTTTTAATTCTCCAAATGAGAATTTCTGGATAGAAAGTAACCCTGAAAAGTTGGGGTAGGGGCATGATCCATACTTTATCAGTAGGTTATGTTTAGTTTAGCTGTATTGACCGTATTAAGAGAGTGCAAAGGTTATTTTCTCCTCAAATCATTTATATATTCAGGAAGAAAACATCAGAGGACTCTATGTTAACAGCATATTAGTATTTTAAAATAGTAAATGTTTCCAAATGTATCATTTTACAAATATATCGTATATCACAAATAGAGAGATAAATATGCCAGTATATAATATGATTGGAAAGTTACACTGAAACTTTTATTGTCACAAGAAAACCAACTATGAGCTGTAAAATAACCACTGGGGAGAAAAACATTATCTGATTACCTAAGAATAGTGGCATGAAAATCACACACTGTAAACTTATTTCCATTTACTAAGAAGTTGTTTCATGCTTCGCTGAATTAATTCTTCAAATTTTTAAGAAGCCTGGATATAAGAGCTATCTTTTGAAATTACAAGTGGTCACGTTGTAGCAATAGCGCATTCAGTTTTAAGACATTCACATGTGTAATAACACCAAAATTATATCTTGAGCTACATTTCTTCTTTGGAGCAAACACATGAACTAGAAAATTTTTGATACAACTAGGCTTCCAGTTTCATAGACCAAACAAATTACAGTTCTTAAGTCTATGTAAAATATTAGTATCCATAGCTCTGGTTTTAAAATTGTAGGGAGTCATTATAAGTCACTTGAATAATAAACCCTGATCTCTCATTATTCTGATGTTATTGTGTGTGGACATACATCTTGTATAAGATTTAATAATATTTGAAAGCAAATTATGAAACTCATCAAAATTCAAAGAATATGTTTGATACAAAGACACTGAAAGCAAGTATGTGCACAAGCTTTCAATTTTTCAATCTAATGGGTACTATCCCAAACACAATCCCTTTTATTCAGATATTACATAGATATGAAAAAACAACTTTCTCCTTTCTGGAATATTAAAAATTTATTTCATATTCTACTTGTTTTTTTAAATAAATATTAATTATTATTCTAACATGATTTTGAAAGACACCTTTTAATTCATATATGAAACAAGAGTCATAATAAACACAGCTATATTTCAATAAACTTCAGATAATATGAATGGTTACCAGTGAATTTCATTTATGATATTAATGAAGTCATTTTGTTTAAACTGTTTTGGAAGCTAGGTTTTTTTTCCCAAAAATAATTTCATAAAGTTAAAATAAATAAGTCAAACACTATAAAAAATTACTAGAGCTTTAACAAGGTAGGGTTAAAATTTTATTTAATTTGCCAAAATGTTTAAAAGTGTACGCACAATATTTGAAAGCAGATGAATGATACCAACTAGAATAAAGATATCCAATCATACAATCAACTACAGAAATGTGAAATGCCCTCAGTTCAGAAGAAAACTTTTAAGTATTATAATTAATTCTCAACAACTAGTTACAAGTTATTTTTTTTCAGATAGTAAATATTTTATCAAGTTATTTTCGGTTTAGAATATTGCCATACAAAAGTTGTAGATACAAAGTCAGTTTAGGTCTATTGAAGTCAAATATCTTCACTTAAATCGTTTAA